TGCACAATCGTCGAAACACATGACCATATATGGTAATGTTCTCGAACGTTCCAAGATGATCACGTGACCTAACACGTGGCATTTCCTTTTATGGTAATGTTTCTAGAACATTCCATGATCACATGATCCCAAGACAAGTGACGTCACTAAACACGGAACGACTCAACTCAAAAGACACGTAAAAATCAACATGAAAACAATGAGTTTCAAATGGCGTGTCAGTATACATTGAGATCGAAATACTGCATCTTCATACAAATCCTCTAGTGAAAACATGAGCACCGAATGATGCAATCGGCGCCATTTTTGTGCAGTTGAGAACCTATTGGTGGTCCTATATAAAATGAGATTCAAAAGCTGTTGTCGTTTTCGATCTCAGCCGTGAGATCCTATTATACGACAAGTATACCAAATGAGAACTGATTTAACGTTCTTTATATCTACACAAAAAAAAGGTCATCCAAATCAGAGGATCAGTCTCTGTCTGTAAGGTTAGGTTAGGTTAGGCAAAGTGAGGTTACCTACCTCAACCCACGTGGTCTACACTCCTCCCTCCTCTGTCCTAGAACGTACAAAATCACTACTACTAACGTACGTTTTCATGTCCCTGGCCTTTTACTTCGTAGATACTGGATTTTTAGTTTATTATTATGTGTTTTAATATTTTTTGGGACGGGGCAACATGTTACACACATTTATTTGGTTTTAAATAGGTTCTAGGTATTTTTTTCGTATTTTTAAAGTCTCGAAATTCACGACCATGACGTGTCCCTAGGGTACATTTTCCAACTTTCACGCTGTTTTTAGACTAATTATTCATGCCGAAATATATAAAGCCATATTTTTATGTCATCATTGGTTATTAAACTTACAAAAAAGTAGCATATTATAATTTTATTGTCATTACAAACTGACTACCATGACAAAATAAGTCTGTCCCTCGATTTGGCGTCACGACCATTTGGGAAAAATTTTCAACTTTGGAGCACGACAGTGGCAAGCCTGGCGTCGATGGAGTCAGTTGGTTTTAGAGACTAGTTCGGGGTGTATGTCAGGATTGTAGTGCCGGTCGTTTCGAGTTGAAAGGAGGAATTACAAGATTAATAAAGGAAAGATTGTGTTTTTTGTAATTTTGGTGTGTCCATGACTGTACGTAGTCATTCGGTGAAGTAGACATGGTGTTAATTTTTGTTTATAAGATATTTCAATTGCTAGATTAACCTAGAAGCCCACTTTGTATCCTCGAACATGAGGTGCAGAGCTACCGCCAGAACAGAGCCAAATAACACGTAATTTCACGACCAAAGTTTCACGACCATCGCGGGTTTTTTCACGACCAATCCAGCCTTATGGATTATAGTGTGTTTGGTCGTGACAATAACTTTAATATAATTGTAAATTGAACAGTTTAGTTCAATTGAAACACATATTTTTATTATAACTAACAGGATAATTGATGGATTGTTTTGAAAGATTTAGATTATTCCAGACAATTCACGACCGTACCGCTTGTCCCTGACCATCACATTTATGATTTCTATCATAAAAATTTCAAAATTTAAAATATCGTCATATTTCAATGTTTTATACACAAAAAAAGCACACCTCTATACAAACATAACGATTTTTCGGGTCTCAGGTAAGTTTTTTCAGAGTTATACAAACTTAAAAAGATTTTATTGGCTTTTTTCAATTTTTTTAATTTTTTTATTTTTTTCTAGAAAGACCAAATATACCAAAAGCTTAGTGACCTTTTTATTGTATAATGGTCATAAAAGTAAATTAGTTTATAGCAAAACATAGATATAAAAATAATATTAACTATTTTTATTATTCATTTAAACGTCCGTTATGGTCGTGACAGGATTTTGTGTTTTTCCACTAAAGATGCTCTTTTAAAAAGAAACTACCAAAGATATTGCGTTACCATGGACATTTTAAGAAACTTCAAATGGTAATGAAATAAAAAAAAATAATAAACGTTTTGAAAAAAGGGGGAAAAAATTTGCAAAGTGTGTGAGGTACCATGTTTTAAGGGGGGTAAAAAACGTATTGCTAGTCAACAAACACCATAACTTACCCGATTTTTATCCACAACATCCTACTCCTAGGCCTATGTGTTGGCCATAGCTTGGGCTTATGGGCCAAAGAACGTAGGCCTACTTTTAATAACAGTGAAGTACACAAACACACCCACAACGATATATTTATTCATAATAGCACTTCGTTTCACATAATAAAGTTAAAACGAACGATTTTACGAATATTTAACGCCGATTACAACATCACTTAACCTCGAAATGGTGTTTGTTGACCAACGACAGACGACAACTAGACCGGCTCAACAGGTGAATTTCCAATCAGTTGTTGGCTAGTTCTCGAACTCACCACCAGAGCGATTAAGCCTCGACCGAGGAAATTATGATTTGAGCCGGACTAGGATTATTCGCTGTTCAACCGTCGACTTGTTCACGAGGAGCTCTTGCGAAATTACGATCACGCCATACAATTCTACGTTATTGATTCAGGTTAGCTAACTTCGTTGTTAGACTTTCTAACGTTCATTTTATTTTCGTTTTATTTTAACATACGTATACTCGTCTGCCACTTATTTTCACCCGTTTTAAGTTCGATTATATTTGTCTAAATTTTATTAACGATTGGAGTCTTGACCCGCCAGTTCCTGCCGGTCAGTGACTAGCGGAGGATATCTTTCGGTCCGTTTAAATTAATTGTTCACGAAATTACATTTGTTTCATCCGCTTAATGAATTATTACTTAAATTATTTTAATCGATTCGACGTTTTAATACCCCGAGCCTTGTCGTCTAAGTTCTAAACCCCGTCTTTGGCGGGTGAAAGAACCAAGTCTTGGGAGCAGGCTGATTTGAACAATCAGCTATGTAAATTGATACTAAATTTATTTTAAATCATCTCACGTCAAATTATCCGTCCAATTATATTAATTAGGCCCCGACGACTCTGTAGGAATTGCTTTTACATTATATTCGATTTTATATTATTTACCTAGGCCTTTAGTTAAATATTTTGAAGTTCGTTACGAGTATTTATATCACATTGGTTTAAGATTGGATACTCGTCGGCCCTACAGAGTCATTCTAAAAGTTAGGCAAAATTCTCCAAAACACTTTTACGAAGGCTGGGATGATATAACTCCAACTGAGCGTCTGCAGGATTTCCTGTTTTTAAATTTTCACTCTTGCACTGGGGCATAACCATAGACAAAAAGAATTAAATATGTAGGTCTGTATGGGGAAGCGAGCTGGTAGAGGGCGGGAATTCAGCCCCCAAGGTCTCCCACTCTATCCTTATTTAAAAAATAGTTGCTTAACAGCTGATCAAGCAACATGCATTAAGGACAAAAAAGTGGTGGGTTAACTTCCCCTCATTCCCCTCAACCCACCTAAATGTTTTGAACCGAGTATAAGATCATAAACAAAAAGAAGTAAATATAGACAGACCGTCAGCTGTGCTGCGGTTACCATAGGTTCTGGCGCAAACCGCTGGGAGCGCCTTGTAGTTACAGCGTACGCGCTACGTAAACTACAAGGCGCTCCCAGCGGTGTGCCAGAACCTATGGTAACCGTAGCACGGCTGACAGTCCATATTTAATTCTTTTTGTCTATGGCACTTCCCAAACCGACTCTGTTTACAATAGATCTTTTTACCTAGTAGCACAATTCTTCATTGCTGCTTCAATACCTCCTCTTTATAAAGTAATCTCTCCTAATAATGCATTGGTTTTGTATTACTTCAGGAAGGAGGTGTCAGTTTTCACTTGTGGGCCTTCCTCACTGCATAGACAAGTCAAGTCTGCAGCACTCAAGTTCAACAGCAAGGGAACTCGCTTTAATTGTGTTCAAGAATCATTTTCCTAAAATTTCCCACATGATTCAACCAAGCCAGTATTATTATTCTGTAAATATATTTTAGTGTTGTAAGATTCATATCCTAGATGCGTTCATTAGATATCTGTGATAAGTTGTGTGTTCAAAGTTCTGTTGAACTTGTGCCATTTATCCCTGTAATATTGTAACGTGTGCAGATAAATTTAATATGAAATAAAATTGTAAAACAAAAGAACCAGGGATAGTATTGAAACCAAAACATTGGTAGTTTATTTACCACATCCCTGATTCAAACTTGTTTTTACGTTGTTTGGTAACATAATGCTAACTGCTGGTCCCTCCGTGTTCTATTTGGATCTTCCTCAGCTTCAGTCCAACAGTATATTGATGGACTAGTCAACACTAAAATCAATGTAGATTTAATTTTGGTCTATTATTTATGAAAGGAAAATGGTTTAGAACACTCAAGTGAGATGTAGATAATGCTTATTTTAAGCCAGGTAAGATTGAGTTAGAGAATGGGTGGTATGGGTATGTCTTGTATTTTGATACTGACTAAAACCAGCTAATGTTTTCAAACGAGACATTTCATTTTTTGGGTAAAAAATCATTTGGATTTGGAATACATTAAGGAAGAAGGAATGGGAAAGAACCTTACCTGAATGGGAAAGAATCCAAACTGGCATAAGATACAACAAAACATTAGAATATTTCACCATCACAACATTTTCAACTAAGGAAGAGAGAGTTTTCTTGAAGTCCAATATGGACCATATTGGAAATGCTCCTTAGTTGAAAATGGACCATATTGGAAATACTCCTTAGTTGAAAATACTGTCAAAGACAGTGAAATATTATAATGTTTTGTGTATAGTGTAAAGCTTACTGTCTCTCGTGCCAATTGGACTCTTTCTCATTCAGTAAGCCTGATACTCCACAAAAAATCCTAAAAACCTAGGCCCTTTTGCTCTATCTTTCATCTTAAAAATAATATATCGTGTAGTTCACATAGATTACTAAGGGAAATTTCTATTTCCAAAACCATTCATTTACCGTTGCTTGCTCCTCAGATAATCCATCACACAGAAAAAAAAACACCTACACAGTTCAGGATAAAAAATGTACAGTAATGTATAAAACGACTTTTATTTCTTAAAATATAATCACACAAAATAAAAACTAATGATCGATGATGATAAGCTCGTCAATGCCCCAGTCCTCGAAGCTGTTGTCGGGTAGATATCTTCTGATGATGATGGGGATCTTGCGCTGCTTCAGTTCTTTCATCGCTATCTGCAGCGGATCTGTTTCCCCCTCCAGCTCCACCATGACTGGAGCACACATCGCGATCTGTAGAGCTCTGGTACCCAGCACACGTGCTCTCTCATACCTGAACAACCGTCATTTGTAAACAGAACACTCATAACACTAGTGTAGAGGTGGGGTAAAAACAACGCAACGGTTGTGGCGCGGCAGACGTTGCACAACTAAACGGTTGTGCAGAACAGGCAGTTGTCGACAACTGGGTAATGGGCCTAAATGGTGAGGGGGTAATTTCAGAAGGTAGTGTAACTAGGTTAAACTACAAAAGAATACCACAGTTTACCTGGTGTTGGTATACAGGGTGTTTTAATTGTCCCCCCCAACTTTTTCTACATTTTTTCAAATATCAATCCCAGACCACTTCCAAACATTGTTGGGTAGTAAGTACTTCATTTTGACAAGGTGGTCATTTCCGGCCGCCATCTTGGATCCACCATATTGGATGCAAAATATTTTTTTCAAATGTAAAGGTGGGGATGTGACCCATTATTTCGAACTAGATTTTTACCCTGATTACAATGTCACAAACCGCTTTTAAAAATTTTGATCCATTCTAAAGTTATAAGGCCATTTTAAAACTTTATTTTTAGCCCATTTTAACATTGTGCATTCACAAACTAAGACCATAATCTCAAAATAGTGCTAGATAAAGATAAGAATACACAACCAGTCATTGTTGGCCTATGTTCACTTGGTTATGACACATGTATTTTTTTCGACCGCCATCTTGGTTCCGCAATTTTGAAATGGGATAAATTATTTTAAATATAAAGTGGATGTCGTGACCCATCATTTCGAATTACTTTTTTAAGCCAAACTCAATTCCATGATCCGTTTTTCATTTTCATATTTTGATTTTGAAATATTGTCATTTTTAACAAAAAAAATCAAATATTTCATAAATAAAACTTAATAACAAAAAATAGATTGCGGCATTGAGTTTAGCTTAAAAAAGTAGTTCGAAATGATGGGCCACAACATCCCCTTCATATTTAAAATAATTTATTCCATTTCAAAATGGCGGATCCAAGATGGCGGCCGAAAACAATACATGTGTCATAACCAAGTGAACATAGGTCAACAATGACTGGTTGTGTATTCTATCTTTATCTAGCACTATTTTGAGATTATGGCCTTAGTTTGTGAATGCACAATGTTAAAATGGGCTATAAATAAAGTTTTAAAAAGGCCTTATAACTTTAGAATGGATCAACATTTTTAAAAGCGGTTTGTGGCATTGTAATCAGGGTAAAAATCTAGTTCGAAATAATGGGTCACAACCCCACCTTTACATTTGAAAAAATATTTTGCATCCAATATGGCGGATCCAAGATGGCGGTCGGAAATGACCGCCTTGTCAAAATGAAGTACTTACTACCCAACAATGTTTGGAAGTGGTCTGGGATTGATATTTGAAAAAATGTAGAAAAAAGTTGGGGGGGGGGGGGGACAATTAAAACTCACCATAGGGAAGGAAGAAATTTATTAGTACATACAAACAGTTGTTGATTACTTTCACATAACTGCTTTTTTAAGTTAACTAGCATCATACATAATCTCTCTGAAGTTTAAGACTGCAGACGACGTCAGTGCAAAAGCCACTTGGGTTGTTTGGTTATTGGCTCTGTCTGCGGACATGCTTCGGGAGGATAAGGAGGACTGATTACTCTTTTTTCTTTTTCTGACCGGGTAAGCATCTTCTGCCGGCCTTCAATGTTACAAGTCTCCGCCTTTTTCTGTTTTTTCGTAACTCGCTGACCAATCAGCGGGTGACTTGGTCTTCTTCTCGAATAAAAAGTTTGGGAAGACTGAAGAGGCTGTCATTCCCATTCTCGACCCGGCTATGCGTTTCGAAGTTACTTGTTTCAAGTTCGTCGTACTACGTCTTGATAAATTAGTGTTTGTAAGCTGAAGTTCTTAAAGTTGAATTTGAAGCGTTACCTTCACAGTTTTATTTTGAAACGTGTTCGGTTATTTATTTCGTCCTTTGGTGAGTTGTGTAACAAAATTTTCGTTGCATTTTTATATTTTTCTACCAGTTTTAGCGAGAAAAACATTGTCGCAATTTGAAAGCTAGGCCTGACTCTCAGCCCTAGTCCTGCGTTATTTAACCAACCAAATAAGTGGGGAAATTGAAGTTCGTGATTCGTTTTAAATTCAGTATCGGGACTGTTTGTGTTAATTTTTAATCCTTTTAATTTAGTGTGATCTCCACAAGTTCGTCCCAACAGACAGGTTTCTGCTTACCTAGTTTGGCAAAAGTTTGCTAAAGTTGTCCACGTAAGGAAGTGCAAGTTTTAATTTTGTTTTTACGTTCAAGCAGCAGTTTTATTTTTTGTTTCGACCTTTCCTTTTTTCCTTCACTGGCAACTTAAGCCAACTTTCTTTTTATAAACTCAGAATCTGTGGGATCTAAGCTTGGCCTATTTTTATTTTTAACCCTTGTTTGTTTCAGGCTCTCACGTGTAACCTTGTAGGTAAGCAGGGTGAACCTACTTAGTTTATTGCTCGCATAATCAAGTAGTTTGTGGCATTCTAAGTAGTTATTTCCCACAAAGTCACGTCAAAATTAACTTATAACAGGTTACGTACCTTGACGTACATAATTCCTTAGTCGATATCTATGACTAGTTTTGACTACTACGTAGTAATTATCAAAAACGGAACGTTAAAATATTACATTCATTGAATGAATGTAGTCAAATCTTAAATACATCGGACACACAAACAAACATAACACAAACACGGTAGACATTTAACATAATGACGTTAAATTTCTACCGTGTTCGTGTTATGTTTGTTTGTATGTTCGATGTATTTAAGATTTGACGACATTCAATGAATGAACGTTCCGTTTTTGATAATGACTACGTAGTAGTCGAAACTAGTCAACGGATATTGACTAAGGAATTGTGGATGTCAAGGTACCGGTACGTAACCTGTTATAATTGATTACCAATTCCGGAAGGCTTCAACATGTAAAAATTATCGACTCTTCACAAACTCCTCTGACTAGGGCAATGAACTAAAGACACTAGTTGTTCAGAGTTCTGATTAACCGAGACTATCAATAGTGAGGCTATCCGAATCACTATCAACTCTTGGAAAATCCCAGCAGCAACCCGACTCGTGCGATTCCTGGGACTTTGTTGATTGTTAAGGTAGCAGAATTTCCTGCGCTACCATATGAGTGTTCGCCGGCAGGAAATTTGTGTCACAACTGTTTCAGGAAGTTGTCGTTGCTCACAGCTGCACGACTGCTCAACGCAATGCAACGCTCTAGTCAACAACTTTTCGATTTGGCTGTGGGTTGGCCGGACGCAGGCGTTATCCAACTGAACGGTTGTTTAAAGAGGCAGTTGTATTAAACTGTTACGCGGCTGTTAAGTCGTCATTGTTGTACCGAGGTTACCTAAAAAACAGATTTCTTTCTTATTGTTTCTATCGATTCCCGTCCTGTGTGGCAAATAATTGGTGACCTGTGTCTTTGTAGTGATACCGGTATACTACAACCATTGGGGCATAGTGAGCTTTTCATAATCCTTGGTTTAGACATACACCTCGAATCATCGGATTGGGCGAATCTTTTAGCTAAGTGGTTGTTAGTGTATCCCATGAACGTGGTCACCAATGGCCGTTTTGCTACTTTTTGTTAAAATAACCTTCCTCTCTATATCCCTTAGAGATTTTAATAAATGCCGATTTATCGCCGCATAGCACTCAAAGGGTTAAAGGCCAGCTGTTCAAGCAATGTTTCTAGTAATATTATAATACTTAATTGTTCCTGTTGCGCTAAACAAGTACTTGGTTTTTTTTTTATTGAACATAAAAATTCTATAAAAATTTAACAAATTGCTAAATTAGGTCTACACTCAGTAGGCCTAATCTTTACTTCACATCACTTACTTTGTCATATACTTTGTTGTAATCCTGTTTGACTTCTGTACACCGCCTCTAGCATCCTGAGCATTGAGAAGTTCAATATTCTCTCCCTCTTCCTGCAACAGAGAATGTTTTCACCGATTATTGCATTTTCCCCAAAGACTAGATGATTGCGATAACACATTATGTATAGATATGCTATAGAAGAATAATGTGATGTTTTGTAAAAACAAAAAACTACTAGGTAATTTACAATATTTAAAATATCTTAATTCTAACTTTGTACCATAAAGATTGTACTTTGTACCCCAACGATGTTATTACTTAATACATTACTTTAATACTTTCTTATTAACTGGCGTACTGGCGACCATACAAATTAGGTATTTTAAGTCAAATATGAATGTACATGAGTGTAGGATGAGTGGCGCGATCTTGTAGTCTTGTTAGTGACTAAGGCCGACATTCCTTAGACACAGCTGTTAATTAATAGCCCATACAGCTAATGGCAACTAAGGGACCTACATTTTATCGTGGAATCCGAACCACATTTTTGCCTTGGTATAGGCTATACGAATTAGTCTAATTATCAGGATAGTACTGCGGATAGTCGTAGTACTCACTCGTGCGGACGTTAATCCACACCAGGGAGTATTGCATCCACAGTGCATGCCTATAAATATCCACAATTTGTGACAATATTTTGTGAAGTATGGGCAAAGCAATTTGTACTTTGTACTTACTTTTCTGTAACATCCCTTTTTCCCCCTTCTACTTAAAAGGGTACGTCCAAAAAGTCCCAGGTTGGTTACATGTATATTTTCAGAAACATTTAAAATAGAGCTACAAAAAAAAAAATTAAAATCTACTTGATTACATACCAGCTGTTACCCACGGGTTTCAACCCGTTTGACTTCATAAGTAATAATAAAACTATTAATTGGTTAAGTTAAGCTGAAATATACAAAACAGAATACAGTAGTACTAGTGATGTGGGCCGGGCAAATGCCCAGTGGGCGGGTCGTTTATAAATGGGCATTTGTCCGGGCATTTACCCAAAGCGATTTTAAGCGCCCAAAAACTGGGCGTTTATAAAAAGTTCAGTTTAAGGCGTAATACAATAAAACCTGTAATATTTTCAGTGTGGTATTCTAAATAAATAATTTTCTAAATTGTTAAATAAAATCTTATATACTGATTAAGCAGGTTTCTACTCTGTAATTCATAAATATGTGCATAAGATAAATATATGATGTCTAATTAATTAAATTTAAAGTTAAGTATTAAGGTTTTGTTAGTAAAACAAGTGCTAAATTAATTCTATTACATTAGCCAGATATTGTTATTTTTATTATTATTTTTTATTATTACTTTTTTTATTATTATTTTTATTTTAAATAAAAATAAACCTATGAAGTTATTTTCAGTCTAAATTATTTCCTCTTGTCGACAAAAGAAAAGTGTTGACTTTCTAGTACTGACTTCCTACCAATATAATTAAAATTATACAAGTAGGCCTAATTATTTTTTTTTTATATAGGCTATTATGTAAATATCTAATGTTAGAGGTTTAAAAAGTTGACTAGAAGAGTAGTGTTCAATTTAATTTCCATTAATTAGGTTTATTAGCCTTTAACTGGATAAACGCCCGGCGCTTATGGATTTTGGGCTGTTATACGGGCAAATTCCCTGGGCATTTGCCCCGAGATTTAAACGCCAGGGCGTTTTACATCACTAAGTAGTACAAACAAATAATCACACCTGATTTTTAATAGGCTAACAAATAAATAAGTACAGCTGAAGTATTTTTAACATTAGGTATATGGGAAGTTCCCTTTAGAATGGAATTACAATTATGAATTACAGTTAGTTTTAGTTAGAATTAGTTTATGAAATAATGGATAGTTTTGCACAAGGTTTCTCGTCATGACGAACATTTTAAGTATCTGGTTTATGGGGGTGTGACTTTTAGTTTTCTCAAAAGTTCATGGGTACTTTGGGATTTATATATGGATTTAGTGATCCGCTACTTCCTCAGGGGGACGGCCCGATAGGAGTCAGAAGAAAATCTTAAATGTATGCATAGGTTGATATGCACATAAAATGAAAGGTCTTTGTTAGTAAAATACAATGCCGAAATAAAACCCAAACTCAAACGGACATAAGAGTCCAAAATGACAGCTATTCCTGTAGTCAGTTGTCGCTCGGAGGAGTCGCCACTGCCTTATCAGTGACCTTCGACTGGGCCGGCAATCCATGTGACATATTAGCCGTATATCGGAGTCCGAGCTCTAGTCTTGAGCACTTCATCAATGGTGTTTCTGAGCATTATTACTTAAGCCGAGATTTCCAAGGCATTCGTGTTTTAGTTGGTGATACAAATTGCAACATTTTGGCACCTGGGCAAAATAGTCTAGAAGAGCGCTTCTTAGACGAAATGTATGGATATGGATTTATACCTTGCATCAACTCAATAACACGACCTGCTAGTAATACCTGCATTGACCATTTTTTCGTCAAAATTGCTAATAAAATCCTTACTAAATCAGCAATCCTTCAGTCAAGTTTAACTGATCATTACCCCATAGCACTACAAATATCTAAGCAGCGACACTACAATAATAATAAAATGGAAGCTTCTTTTTACAAAAAGACTGACTGGAAAATTGTCAATAACCTTTTAACAACTGAAAACTGGCAAGAAGTACTAGCAAGTGAAGACGTAAATTTTTTTGCCGAGCAAATTACAAAAAAAATTGGCAGGGTGATTGAAAACGCATTATTAAATATTAAAATTAACGCTAAAAATACAAAAATCAAACCTTGGATAACTAGTGGTCTTATTACTTCAATAAGAAAGCGGGATCTCCTTTTTAAACAATTATAAAAAGAACCATTCAACCTGTATCTTCGAAATGAATTCACCCAGTATTGCAATAGATTACATTCCCTAATTAAGAATATAAAGTTTAATTATTACAAAACCAAAATCGACGAATCCGCGGGTGACGCTCGTAAATTTTGGTCAGTTGTAAACGAGGTGGCTGGCCGACCAAGTGCCAAAGCGCCGTTTCCGGTTGAGGCGTTTGTTGTTAACTCTGACACTGCCTCCCCCCCAGAAACAAAACACATTTGTAACACATTTAATAATTTTTTCTCTTCTGTGGGATCTGAGTTGGCAATGGGTATCACGGCTTCGGGACGACCGGAGGTGGATGACGCCGACCACGCGGTTGATTCTGTATTTGAGATGGTGCCTGTCAATGAGCCCCAGCTTTCCAATTTAATAAATAGTATCAAGGGAGGTTCAGCTCCTGGCTGGTACGACATTCCAGTCAGAATTATTAAAGAAAATGCAAGCCTTCATATTCCAATTCGGCACTTAATAAACACAAGTATACGCACTGGGAACTTTCCTGATATTTTCAAATTAGCTAAGGTTATCCCGATACACAAATCTGGGCAAAAATCTGTCATTAATAACTACAGACCCATTTCATTGTTACCTGTGATAAGTAAAATTCTAGAGAAATGGGTAAAAATTCAGCTCTTAAACTATCTGGAGAAAGAGAATATTATTACAGAAAATCAATACGGCTTCCGAAAAGGATTAAACACATCGGATGCACTCTTTGATCTCACAACATTTATTACCCAAGAAATCAGTAAAAAAAATAAAGTTATGATAACATTCCTGGATCTTGCTAAAGCGTTTGATTCTATCGATAGGAATTTATTACTCAGAAAGCTAAACTTACTAGGTGTCAAAGATACTTCCTTAACTTGGTTTGAAAACTATTTTTACAGTCGAAAACAGTTTGTAGCAATACGTGGAGTCAACGGTGACAACACAGACATTAACTATGGAGTCGTCCAAGGAAGCACGCTTGGCCCTCTTTTATTTTTAATATACATTAACAATATCTCAAATCTGTCAATTAAAGGTAAGGTGTTCCTGTTTGCTGACGATACGGCTCTAGTCTCCTCCGGGCCTAATTGGGACGCCGTATATGACAGGGCGTCCTCCGACTTGGACAAGCTCAAACTATGGTTTGACCACAACATACTATCCTTAAATGTGTCCAAGACCAAATGTCTGCCCATTTACTTTAGATGCGACAGTGGTCCGGGCCATAGAGTACTCAGGTTGCACGGCTGCGGGGGTCCATGGACAGCGCCGTGCCATTGTGAAATCATTGAGCAAGTCGAAAATTACAAATACCTTGGGGTCATAATTGACTACAAACTTAGCTGGGCTCCACATGTTGATTACGTCAACAACAGATTAAGAAAAATGATCTTCGCTTTTTCACAGCTTGGTTGTGTGCTGTCTGTGGACCATTGCAGGTGTGTATACTTTGCGTATGTCCAGTCACTGTTACAGTACGGGATACTTGCGTGGGGGGCTGCGTCTGCCTCTGTCTTGGCTCCTCTTGCTGTTACCCAGAAATCCATAATCAAACACATACTAAAAAAAGACCAAAGATACCCCACCTACCTACTTTTTCAAAATTTTCCAGTTCTTAACATCAGGAAACTATTCCTAAAAACAGTTATAACCTTTTCAAAAAATAACAAAAGCAAAATTTTCTCCGATTCGCTACATTCTTATGACACTAGATCTAGAACACACATAGGCATCTCCGTTCCCAAATTGAACAATAAAGCACAGCTTCTTACCCCTCACTATCTAGCCCACATTATACGCACTAATCTCCCCATTCAGATAAGAGAATGGGAGGGAGACAGTGTCGCGGTTTTCAGCAGAAAGATCGGGCGCTGGCTTCTCGGTCTGAGCGATGATGCTGCCGAAGAGCTCATCAGATCCCAGTACAGAACATAATGAAAGTCGATGACGATTCTAAAACTAAATTAGGCTAATAAACCAAACTACTTCAGTACTGGCACCCTCATTCAAGTACTTCAAATATTGTTCATGTTCAGTCTTTTTTGCCAACAATATGGCAAAAAAAATACTTCTTTTTATTTTAATAATTATTTGTTTATTTTGTTATCTTGTCTGTGAAGTGGTGAGCGACGGAGAAGACTCTCACCACACGCAGATGTACAGTCTTTGTGGGGATTTTTTTTCCTTTGTACTTTGCTTTACAGCCACGATTGTAATTTGTGTAGTTTGTAATTTTGGAAATAAATATATTCTTATTCTTATTCAAAGATGCATTGAATTTTCAATGTTGTTATACGATAACCCCCCCCCCCCCCTCCCCTAGAGCATGGGCCTGCTAGAAGTCGGAAGAAAATCTATCATGAACGTATGCATAGGTTGATGCACATCAAATTGAAGGGATTTATTATTAAAATACAATGTTGCAATTTTGAGCTCAAAAGAACATTTAAGTTAAGTAAAAAATGGCAGCCGTTCAAACATTTTTTGAATCTTCCATTTTGAATCTTTAAACGGCTGCCATTTTTTACTTTAACTTAAATGTTCTTTTGAGTTAAAATATGGGGCATTGTATTCTACTAGTACAATTCACCCCTTTAATTTCATGTGCAAATCAATCTATGCTTACATTTAAGATATTCTTATGACTCCTTGCGGGCCGCCCCCCTGAAGAAGTAGCGGACACTGAATATGTGATAAAATGAATATCACTGAATATGTGACAAGTAATATTTCATTTCAAAATAGATTTTATGTCTAGTAACTTTGTGTAAAGTCTTGTAGCCTAGATCTATTTTAAATATTTCAAAAAATATCTAACTGACCCAGGACTTTTTGGACACCCTGTATTGTGAGGTACCTTATCGAACCTTACCACCACAACTTCCTACCAACCACAACTTGGGCGATAAGTTGAGTAAAAACAACTATTTATGCTAATTATATTATATTTATTATTTGATGAAAAATAACTGTAACCTACTGTGCAGATAATTCCCTACAAAAACATCTTAAAAGGGTAAACGCACAAACAGTGCAGAGAGTGTGCAAGGCTATTAAGGATCATTATTTATCCGTAGTAGGGCAAATATTTTTCAAAGAATAATAAACATATTAACAGATTTGTATTTATTCACTCCTCAAGTTATCTCCCTAGCAGTGGTTGGCGGCTGACAGCTAACAGCCGTCCGTTAACACTAACACTCCTTTCACACTGTACTGCTTTGCCGTACAGGCAATTTTCTATTAGTAGTATAAAGAAGAGCATGGCACTTTCAACGGTCTTGGAACTGTACACTGCCTTTGAACTGGTTTATTGATGCGCCGTGGCCTTGCGTCAGTTGCGCATTTAGTTAAATGCAAGATTTCATACTGCACAGTTTTTATCAAACGAGAGCCTACCAGTCAGTGCCTAAATAGATCAGCTGTTAAAATCTGACCTGTCAGTTGGGCACTGTTTATCTTTATTGTGGTTTTACAAACACATTATCACACCGTACAATCAGAAACTGTGTTAATGTGAGAGAAACTTAGACACAACGTAAAATTGTACTTTTTTTAACTGGACGACAGAATCCGTGTAGTCTGAAAGGAGAGTTACATGGAGGGCCATATGAACTACTAAATTTGGTGGCCTAAGCACTGCCCTGGGAAACAACTAGGCCTATGTAAATATTCAAATGTTTTTAGGAACTCACATCTTGCTGATCTATTTCATCGATGTCCGCATCATCTTCAACTTCATCAAAATCCTCACCAACACTGCAACGATTAAATTCAAGAAAGTTATGCCTAGGGACATAGAATTCATAGGCCTAACTGTTTTGTTACTTAAGACAGAAAACACCTTTGTAAAAGTATTATTTAGCTAAATATGTAAAATTGAGTGTAAAAATTAATTTTATTATATAACTTACCCTGTGCTTTGATACTGAGTAAAAACCTGCTGTTTCTTAAGCCAGAACCATTGAGCAGCTGTGTTACGGTATGTTTTTAAAACATTAATATCTAAGTCTATTTTAAAACGTTTTTATTAGCTCGCATTCTTGTCCGGTACAAATTTTGGAATCAATTTTATACTAACTTCCCGATGAGCTAGAGACTTGAAACTTGAAACATAGCTCACAAATGGAAGACAATGCAATATTATATCATTTAATTTTCATATTTCCCTTGGGCTACACCCCATGGGCTTGTTTTTATTAACTCGCTTTCTTGCAAATTTTGATACTTCCTGATGAGCTAGAGACTTGAAACTTGAAACATAGCTCACAAATGGATGACAATGCAATATTAGGCCTATATCATTTAATTTTCATATTTGCCTTGGGCTACGCCCCATGGGCGTAAAGTGTTTTTATTAGCTCACTTTCCTACAAGTTTTGATATAGGTACATTTTAAACGAAGTTCCCTATGAGCTAGAGACTTGAAATTTGAAACATAGCTCACAAATGGATGACAATGCAATATTATATAATTTAATTTTCATATTTCCCTTGGGCTGCGCCCCATGGGCTTGTTTTTATTAGCTCACTTCCGTACAAATTTTGATATACATTTTAAACAAAGTTCCCGATGAGCTAGACACTTGAAATTTGAAACATAGCTCACAAATGAATGACAATGCAATATTATATCATTTAATTTTCATATTTCCCTTGGGCTACGCTCCATGGGCTTTCAAATTTTCCATGTTTACATTTTGAAAGAATGTTTTAAATACATCAATTAATTTAAGTCAGCTGTAAATACTTAAATTTGACAGTTCGAAGAGCAGAGGTTAAGAGGTACAGGTAATGCCCCCAAGAGATTCTTTATACGTACAAACATTTTTAAATAACGATAAACAATCTGATTGCAGATATAAAGGTGTTTGTTAATAATGTCAATTGTTATTTATTTAGTATTCTATAAATCAAACAATAAATTAAATAGATTGATATATTTATAGTTATTAGGTAGGTGCATATTCATTCTAATAAACAATTATATGAAAAGAAACTCAAATAAACCTTAGATTTCCCACGTGCCTCTGTCTTAATCTGATATAGATGCTTGAAATAGATTTAACATCCACACATTAAACATTAAACTAACTAAACATTAAACACATTAAAAACTAAAAAGTAGAAAATAGTTTATAAATAAAAAAATTTTTATAAGACAAAACGTTTACGGTATTTAAACACACTAAAAAGTAGAAAATAATTTTTACATATGTGGAGAGTATAGGCCTTAATTCTTGTAAGATTTAAAACGAAAAACATGGGGTGCATGCAATTGATAATAATACATTAGTTCAATAGGTGGAGGTAATTGTAAATTAGGCCTATTTATTGCATGCACCCCACGTTTTTCGTTTTTAATCTTACAAGTATTTATACTCTCCACATATTTATGCATTATTTTCTACTTTTTAGTGCGTTTAAAAACGTTTTGTTTTATAAAAGTTTTTTTATTTATAAATTATTTTATTTCTCTGTTCCAAGGGCCTAATTATTTTTTATCCTTTTTTATGTCTTTTATTGACTTTATCATATGTTTATTTCAAGACAGTTATTAGGCCTTACCGACTTTTCTCAGGATCAAAAGGATCCTTTTAGGTTACTAGACTGGAATTGCATCCACTTAAGTACCAAGTTGTAATAAATTTCTTAGTATGTAGGCCTAGGCCAGTTATTTTCAGCCATGCTTTAGTTCAAAAACCAGTTAAGTTAGTATTTTTTTGGGAATTGATTTGAGTTTTAATTGACAGTCTGCTTGGGGAACTGGCTATGAAGCATTCAACTCAAAGAGTCTGCATTGTACACAGTAGAAGTGTTCCAACCAATTGCCGGGGGGGGGGGGGGGGGGGGGGGGAGGAAACACGTTCAGGCTAGTGGAGGATATTACATATGGAAAGACGGTGGCAAGGGTAAAGTTAGATGGAAACAGGCAACTATTCTGTGTGTACAAGATGATTAAAATATATTCTGCACCACTGCAAGGCCCGTACAGTTTACTCAGTACCTACTTGGCGTGCATACAATATTGCTAGACACATAATTAAACTCTCTTTTCATTTATTTTTCTGAGCTGCGTGCAATTTAAGAGAAACCGTGCAGGTATCAGTTCTGTGTTTAAAGCTGGGTTTTCCTAGGCTGCGCGAAGCGGAGAGAGGACACGGAGAGTGGAAAAGAGATTAACATGGTGTTCCGCTACGCTTCTCGGAAAACAGTAACATTAAATTACGTAAGACAAGTGGAGTCCGCTCTCCACGTTCCTCTCTCCGCTCTCCACTTCCGCGCCTAGGAAAACCCGGCTTAAAGCAGACTTCCTCCTATGTCTAATATTAGGCCTGAGACCTTTACACCGTACGTAATAAGCTGGTAACTTAACTCACAATTACGGCCTACAAGAGTTAAGTTATTAACTCTTGTGTATTAACTATTTAAAATAGGTATTTTCCTGTTAAAGGAAACATTCATTATTATTGATGATTTCTTTTCAATACAACTTATTTAATAACGAAATATAAGTTGGTTATGGTTGTCGCTTTTCAACAGAGCCTATAATAGCCTAAGTAGATGTGTGAGGATAGGCTTTAAAATGTGGTTTTAACTGGTATAATTATTCAAAGTCGTTATAATTACAAAGTGTTTCAAAGTTAAGATTGTAATGAGCCTAAGCGGGTACAGTTTCTTAACTGGGCTATGCTAATATTCATTGAAACTATCGAATTGAAAATATTGATTTATAATGGATATTTTAAAATAGGCCTATAGGCCTATCTAAACTTATTATTAAATTAAACTATCATAACCTAACCTAACCAGCCAAACTTGCTGATGGTGAAAAAATCGCATGAATGTTTACTAATTGAATCGATAGTTTCAATAGATATCAGCATAGCCCAGTTAAGAAACTGTACCCACCTAAGCTGAAAAGTGAGTATCTTGACAGCTTAGCCTAGATACTAGTACTAGGCCTACCTAGGTAGGCCTAGGCCTAGGCCTATTTACTATTTCTAATGAGTGTGCAATTCATTAACTTAGTAATAGCCTAGCATATAAATTAGGTATAGGCTACTAGGCCTAGCTATAAAACTGAGTGAGTATGAATATGATGGGCAATTAATAAGAACATTAAGCTAGTTAACAACATAGAACATAAAACACACTAAAAACTTACTCATCAGGTTCGAATTCGTCGTCGGCCATGATCTAGTTGGAAAGGTAAATTGATCTAGATGAAAATATTATTTAACAATAAACCCAGACTGAAAATTGGATTTCAAAGGTGGTTAACTGTTGTCGGAATTCTTCTGGAAAAGAACGAAGGATTAAGGATCAATATGATCAACGATCAGAGAAACGATCAGGTCCAGGTCGAGGTCGGAGCTATTTTGAAGGTTATGTTATGTTATGATGAAGTTGAAGTTATGTTTATTTTTGTATTTTTCTTCTTCTTGTGTTCTTATAAAAAACTGACTTGGTTTTAACACATGTAACTTCACAACTTCAACTTATATAACGACTGTAGTATAAATTTGTCCTGGGATTTCTTGAGGTTTTAAGTTAGGTAACTTCATTTTTTTTTAATTCTCACATCAAAGTTAAAGTTTTGTGGATTTTATCACGACTCTTTTTCTTTTTCTTTCAGAGTTCTAGATATTTTCTGATGGCAGCTAGCTCAATTTTTCTACACTTGTGTTTTATTAGCTATGCAAATACACTAACACGTCTATTGTTAAATCAGTGTATTAAAAATAGAGCACGAATAGATAGATCCTAAAACGTTAAGTGAAATGGGATGAGTGAAGGATGAGTGTAGAATGGAGTGAGATGGTCTTTGTAGCTTTGTTCCTGTCTAAGATCATCTGATTCCATGATCCATTGATTCAAACCCAATGCTGGGTCCAGTTTCAAACCTTAAAAATGATAGTAGCTTCCAACTTTTCTCAGAAACGAACCGGTCCAGAATTGGCAAGGTCACAAGTAGTGCTGTCTAGTGGCAGACGTCCCATATAACCACGGCCACCTTTAACTACAGGCCGCGGCCTGGTAGAATTGGCAACGTCGCAACTGGTGTTGTTTAGTACAGACGTCCCATAAGATAACATGGCAGACAGGTGGCATCAGCTCATTAATTCGCACTTTATTGATTTAAATCGAAATTCATGAAGATAAATTTATAAAAATATTGAAAATGAAACATACAGAATTGAAAACCGAAACAATATAAATTATAAATCTATATCTGTACATTTTTAAGCGGAGCCAATATTGTCATAGTCGAGTAACCAATCTTTCGTAAATACACAAAATACCATTAGCTGCTTCCAAACAAAACAGCTGTTACAACACCAGTTGCGACGTTGCCACTTCGAAGGCCGCGGCCTGGAGTTAAAGGTGGCCGTGATATAACACAGCAGACAGGTGACACCCACTCATTCAATGGCGTATTATTAATTTAAATTTATGAATGAAATTATTTTTTTGAATTTATGAGTGTTAAAAAAAACACTCCGAATTATTTTCAAAATTAAAAATAAACGCCAATCAATGAAATAGTTTAGAAAGATGATTTGATTTAATTTTGTTTTGTTTATTCTTCTTAAGCTTAACATATTTTTTGTAAGGATAATGATTGTTTTAGCGATAAGTAAAGCATAATTCATCTTTATATTTATTTGACGCTATTCATTGTATAAAAACTTGTACTGTGAATGAATAAAGAGAATTTGAATTGAATTGAATTGAATATAATATAAGTTTATTAAGGTTGAAAATAAAACATAAAGTAAAGTAGTGTTCTAAACCAAAAATATATCAATTGAAAAACTATTTCAGTACATAGTCGATGATTTCATAGCCCAGTAAAAAAACTTTCGTATTCTAAAATAATACAAACAATACGCATTAGATGCCTCCAAACTAAATAGCTGTAACAGCAGCTGTGTTGCCACTTCGAAAGCCGCAGCCTGGAGTTAACGGTAAAACACCGTACGACCGGTGGCGGTATTAATGGTTATACATAACCATTGGACGTGTTGATAGTTATCAAGGGGATGAATAAACGCCTTTAAAACACGCCCTTTACTTTGAGAGGACACTGTAGCGATGTGTTTTTCTAAACAAGAAATCCTTCTAAAACTACTACAGTAATCGAGCTTTGTAACAGGGCAGCAGGGTTCTTGTTCTAGAGTTTACTTGTTTGTTCACGAACGGCATACACCAATGACATTTTTTACACACAGAATGGATTAAAAAGGACAAGTTTACAGTTAAAATAATGAGATTACGAGACGATAGCAAAAACCAAGAATACACATTGAACATACAACAAAGTAATAGCAACAGTTTTATTAAACAGCCTGTATTTAATATTGTCACAAACTTAATATTTTAATTCATAACAGCTACAGTACAATATAAAAACTAGAACAAAACAACAACAGATTTAACAATTAATTTTACCTAAGAATTGAATTAGTAATATTATTTTTCCTTTTTCCACCCGAACATCTTGCCAAAGAACTTAACACCGCAGGCATGTGCCCACAGTACTACTTAATGGGAAAATATGGGTATGGAACTTAAAAAGTCCATGTTGAAGCTTAGGCTCTTACCATCTGGGTAGTTGAATGGTTATAGTGATTGCCTAAAATAAAGTTTGTCAGTTTGACCACCCTGAAACCTCCATACCGGTAGGTAGTTAGATAAGTCATAAGTCATAAGTCGTTTATTCAGCAAAATTAACATAAATGCATTAGCTACGTCAAAAACAAAATAAAATACAGTATTTACATAATAAAAAACTCTCTTATACCGGGTGAGTTTTAAATGAGTTCCCCCCCTACTTTTTTCTACATTTCTTAAGATATCAACTCCGGACCACGTTAGATCATTGTTGAGTAGTAAGTACTTCATTTTGACTGGGTATAAATTTTTGGCCGCCATCTTGGATCCGCCATATTGGATACAATTTTTTTTCAAATGTAAAGGTAGGGTTGTGACCCATTATTCCAAACTAGAATTTTACGCTGATTACAATGCCGCAAATAGGTTTTAAAAATCTTGATCCGTTCAAAAGTTATAAGGAATTTTTATAACTTTATTTTTAGCCCAATTTATCATTGTGCATTTACAAACTAAGACCATAATCTCAAAATAGTGCTAGATAAAGTTAAGTATACACCACCATTCATTGTCGACCTACTGTATTTTCACTTGGTTATAACGGATGTTTTTTTTTCGGCCGCCATCTTGGATCCACCATTTTGAAATGTGACAAATTAATTTAAATATGAAGGTGGTGTTATGACTCATAATTTTCAACTACTTTTTTTATACTGAACTCAATGCCGCAATCCGTTTTTGGTTTTCAAGCTTTCTTGATGAAATATTTAAATTATCTTATTTAAAATTTCAATAATTCAAAAACCAAACATGCAAATGGAAAACTGATGGCGGTATTGAGTTCAGAATAAAAAAGTAGTTAAAAATGATTGGTCACAACACCACCTTCATATTTAAATTAATTTGTCATTTTTTCAAAATGGCGGATCTAAGATGGCGGCCGAAAAAATACATCCGTCATAACCAAGTGAAAAAAGGTCGACAATGAATGGTGGTGTATACTTATCTTTATCTAGCACTATTTTGAGATTATGGTCTTAGTTTGTAAATACACAATGTTAAAATGGGCTAAAAATAAAGTTATACAAAGTCCTTATAACTTTAGAACGGATCAAGATTTTAAAAAAATAATTGCGGCATTGTAATCAGCGTAAAATTCATGTTTGGAATAATGGGTCACAACCCTACCTTTACATTTGAAAAAAAACTTTGTATCCAATATGGCGGAACGAAGATGGCGGCCAAAAATGTATACCCAGTCAAAATGAAGTACTTACTACTCTACAATGATCTGACGTGGTCCGGAGTTGATGTCTTAAGAAATGTAGAAAAAAGTAGGGGGGGAACTCATTTAAAAATCACCCTGTATAAATTAAAACACTGTCAACTATGCTACTCTATTACAGTACTACCAGTTCTAGGGCAAAGACACTCACGAACGCTGCAGAAGGCATTATCCAGAAAAAAATTCTTTAGTTTTTTCTGAAATCTATTTAAATCCTGTTCGGTCTTTAGGGAAGGAGGAAGGTTATTAAAAAGCTTAAAGGCATCGTATTGAAAATTCTTTTGAAAGAATGACGTTGAGTAATTAGGAATTGCAAGGTCGGAAGAAATTTACGAAATGGATATCTGTTGTTGAGCTGTGAAAAAAAGAAGATACATTTTTTCTGGTGAAGGATAATGTTTCAAAAATGTATATGGATGGAAAAGTTAGAATTCGGATTTTTTTAAATGTCTTTGTAGGACTGACGTTTGGGTAGGGAAAATATAATGCGGATGGGTTTCAATTGTTGTCGAAAAAGAAACTTAGTCTTTTCACATTCACTACCCCAGACAGGGTCAGTATAGGATAAATAAATGATAAATGATGATAAATGATAAAGATGGTTCGAAACTGGACTTAAGTTGTCCTTGAACATTGCGATTTAATAATTTTTATTTTAATGTCAACACCAGTGTGGCATTTTTACCCGAGAGATTTGTCCCATAAACGACTCGTCTCAGTCAATAAAATAATCTACATGATGTGTTTCATTTCAGTGTACTCTCAATATTTGATCAAAATACGACCAGTTGCGAGTGCGCCCAATCTTAATTTGTGATTAATTATCGTACAGTGACATTTTTAGGATTAAACCAGTCATAATTGTATTAGGAGGTGGGCACTAACCACTCCAAGTTGATAAACCCCATCGCCAACCCACTCTCACCTAATAATTTACAGTTCATAGCCCAGATCGCTTAATTTATACATCATTCAATTCAAAAATTATCACCGAGAAGCAATCGAGTAATTTTCTACACAATTAGGGGCGAGATTTTACAATAAACTGAGTCCTGAATGGTGACTACAAAAGGACCGCTCCATTAGCCGATATTAGACAACCGCATCCCAGAATTAAGACATTGTCCACGCATAATAAGCGCGATTCTGATCCTGAAATGTTTGGAGCACAAGGTCAACCCCATAATGATCCTTTGTTCCGATGTCTTTGGGCTCTTGGAATGCTCGATGCTTCATAAATGCTCGATTTGTTGTATTTTTAATAGGGTTTCATATCGTGCTCGTTTGGTTGCTGTTGTCACGGCATTGTGTCGCCAGAACCTTACCTAATGGTACCGTGGTACTTTATTGTTTGATCAAATGTTTGTATATTTGTACGATTTAGTAAGTCGCTTATCTTTTAATGTGTTAGAATTTAGCTGGAATATGGAGCTATTCAAATCAGGATAAAACCAAACGGTTTACGGATTACAGTATCTTCACGTGTTATAACAGGGC